TCTTCCTCAGGATCCCCAGCTTCCTCCAAAGCACAGCTCAGACACCATCTACTGTAGGAACCCAAGGCATTTCCCAAAATTCCCAGTGATTAGCACTCTCCAGCTCTTAAAATTGCTTTGTACACTGTATCTACTTCCACACATATTACTGTGTCCCTCCCTCTCCTCCTGGAGACAATGTAAGCTTCTTGTGGGCAGGGATTGTTTCACTTTTTGCCTTTGTAGCTTCAGAGTTTGGCACAGTGCTTGGCACAAAGCAAGTAATATTTAGTGAATCGAATGGAATTATTTCCTCTAGTTCTACCAATTTCAAATTCCCAATCCTCCAAGCACATTCAGCAGTGATTTTTTATTCTTTTTTTTTTTTCATCTAGACTTAAGGTTTCGTCACTTTGAGAAACTCCCTCTACAAGTACAGGCTGGTACCTTCTCTGAAAAATATAGCCTCACATTTTACCTTATGCACTGAGAGAGTAAGTGAATTGTCCAGGGTCATACAGAGGCAGGAGGTGAATCTGGGTCTTTGTGACTCATGCCAGCCCTCTGGCTGCTACATCATGCTGCCTTCTTCAAATTCAAAAAGGATTGATTTTTTTAAGTAGCAACATTGATATACAGTCCTTTGTCCACAGACTAAAAGGCTTCTCCCCTCAATAGCTATAGAAACATGTATTAAGCACCTGTCACTGTATACCCAGACAAAAACTTAACAGCCCCTGCCCTCAAGGGGTGAACATTCTATTGGACTGAGCTACCACCGAATGCAGAATCACCTGGCTGGTAACTAGTCCTAAGTTCTAGCCAGCTAGGGCTCCCTCACACTCTACTGCCTAATTACATAGTATCTAATGATAAAAACAGTAACAGATAACATTTATGTAGCGCTTACTATGTGCCAGAAACTGTGTTTTACAATTACTATCTCATTTACCTCACAACAACCCTGGCAGGTAAGTGCTGTTATTGTCACCATTTTACAGATGAGGAAACTGAGGCAAATAAGTTAATTGACCTGTCCAGAGTCACATAGCTAATAAGTCTTCCTGACTCTAGGCCAAGCTCTCTATCCAGTGCCAGAAAAGAATGTCCCAGATTATGAATCTCGCTTAACCGTGGAAGGTGGTCTCAAGGACAACTGATGATACTCATGGTGCTCCCCTCCCCCATCACATATATCCCCAACCCATTTCACAAATAAGCCAACCTATCCTGGCAGTCTGACCACTTAACATGAGCCCTTGAAATATAATCAAAGGTCTTACTCAGCTGCCTTCAGGCAAAAGCTGGGCAGCCTCAAGAGAGAAAGTTTCAACAACCAAGAATTTCAAAGAAAACTTAGGAGATGTGTATGACCAAATCTGTTATTACTGTTGCTGCTGTTAAGTCATGTCTGAATCTTCATGACCCCATTTGGGGTTTTCTTGGCAAAGTTATTGGCGTGGTTTGCCATTTCCTTCTCCAGCTCATTTTACAGATGAGGAAACTGAGGCAAACAGGGTTAAGTGACTTGCCCAGGATCACACAGCCAGTAAGTGTCTGAAGCTAGATTTAAACATACAAAGATAAGTCTTCCAGACTCCAACCTGGCACTCTGTACACTATCGCGCCACCTAGCTGCCCATTATGACCAGATCTGCCCAACAGCTACTGTGAAGTTTATTCACAAAATAATTCTAAATGTCTCCCAAAAGAGATACTCTCAGGGCTCAGGGAGAGTAAGAGATGGAGGGGGAAATGCCAGTGATGTAAAAACAAAAAATATCAAATAAAATCTGCTTTAAAATGAAAGAAAAAGTAGAGAAACTCTGATTAACTGAATTTGATTAACTTAATTAATTGTTTAATGAAATTTATTGGTCTGGGTCATGGAAAAAAAGATGAGGAACGTCTTCCTCTTGGTAGTGATGGGGCAGCAAAAAGTTGCCTACACTGTCAGACTCCAGGCTTTGCTCAGCTGGCTTTCTTTGTTGCACAAGGAAAGATTTAATGTAGGGAGGATGAGTATATCAAAAAATAACTAGTATTTTTTTAAAAAAGAAACCAATAAAACTTTTTTAGAAGTCTCCCTAGCTAAATGCAGATGCCAAAGCTAAGAGACGTTGGAGAAATGTTTGTAAACAAAAGCTATTCACTTGATCACTTCTCCCAGGGTAGCGTAGTACAAGCATACTAACTCTGGAATTAGAAAGCCTGGGTTCAGATCCTGCCTCTGAGTGACCTGAGAGCTTGTGTGACCTTGGGTAAGTCATCACACCACTTCCTTGGGGCGCTATTTCCCCATCTCAAGGTTGCACCTGTCTAGGACCTCTGATCCTCCCTGTGGTGTTAAGTTACCTCCTCCCCAAGAGGAAATGAGGAACTTGTGGGAGGGGGGGCGAGTCTGTAAAGGGATGCAGAACTAGGGAATCTCCTGGAGAGGCTTCTTGGAGAAGACCGGCCAACATCGAAGGACAGAGTCCAGAGAGAAGCCCCCCTTTTCTGGACTGCAGAGAGGGCCTGGCAATGGCAAAGTCACAGGCAGCACTTGCCACCTCAGCGGAGAGAAAGCAAATCCCAGAGATTCTATAGCTGTTACTGGCTTTTAGTGCGATCTGATACCTCTGCTGGCAGAAAGGGACCCAGTGGAGCCAAAAACGAGTTGAAATGTCCCATTATTTCCCAATTCTGACAAGCCTCTTGTGACAGATGCAAGATTTACCCTTGCAGCAGGCTTGGAAATCAGCTTCAGTCAAAAAGGGGATGAGTCAGGAGTCACGAATACAAAGCACAACTCATTGCTAGCTCCGAGGATCTCTATGAATAGTCAGGAAGAGTCCCAATGAATTCTGGGGACTCTACTTACTTCCTATGTGTATGACCCTGAATAAGTCCCTTCTCCTCTCTGGTCATCAGTTTCTAGTTCTGTGAGATGAGGAGGTTGGACTATACATAATCTCTATGACTCCCCCCAGCTCTAAATCCCATAACTCTATGGTCTTTAACAGGTTTGGAGCGTGTTCCTAGCATTTGAGGGGGAGGAGGGCGAGAGGATCCAAGTTGGTGATTTCACTGAGTTCCTGGTGTGAAAACTCCCTCCCCCAATGCGGCTCCTGAGCTGGAAGGGACCTTGGAGACCAGAGGGCCCTCAGGCAGACTGCATCATTGGCAGGATTTGAATTCTTGAGCCAGGGCCTTTTCCATTCAACCACACATGCTACCTCCCAGAAACGAGTCGATAATTTGAGACAAGTTCTTGGCCATCCCCAAAGTCCAACTAGTTTCTTCAGGTTTGAAGCCCACCAAAGGGAAAATACTAATACTGGACCTAAAAGTGACTTTGGGAGAGGAATGTGCACCTCAGATTTCGCCCCTGTCAGTCAGCAAATGTTTATTAAGTGCCTGCTGCATACCAGGTTCTGTTATAAGTGCCAACTATAGTAAGATAAAAACACCATCCTGCTTGACTTCAGGGAGCTGAGATTGCCCTGAATGGAGAAGGTAAACATACAAAGAGCTAGTACATGCAGGGTGTATCAAGTGAAAACAGGAGAGAAGACACAACAATGGGGAACTCCGAGAGGCCTCCCCCAGAAGGTGGGGTTTGGGCTGGGTCTTGAAGGAAGCCAGGGGAGCAGGAGCTAGAAGCAAGGGGGCCAACGAGGACACTCACAATCTCTGTATCAGGTGCTTTTGCTTAATTGTTTTTCTTTGTCAAAGGGTAAAGTTCAGTGGGGGAGGGGATAATAAGGCAGTCAAGATGAAAAGTATCAATAAAAGGGAAATAACGGGAATCAGTTCTAGAGCACCAAGACACAGAGGAGCTGTGATCGGTAGTGATGGATGGAAGAACTCACACTGCGCAGCCCAGAGATGCCAGAAGTACAGGATTATCAGGGGGGCTCTTGAACACATGGCCAACACCTGCGTGTTAGTCACAGAGCTGGCTTAGGGACAGGGTAGTCTAGTGGGATGGGAGTGGGGCAAGGGGTTAGGAGGACCTGGGTTGAAATCCCCTGGCATATACTTAGTAGTTGTGTGACTCTGAGCAAGTTACCTCTCTGAGCCTCAGTTTCCTCATCTGTAAAATAGGACAAATGCTGGCAACAGCCTGAGAGAGTTTTCATAAGGATCAAATGAGACAATATATGTCAAGTGTTTTGTGAACCTTAAAGCTCTGAGTATAATTTGTTATTACATCATCACACATATATATATTATCATCACAGATATACATATATATATATATATATATATAATGGTTACTTATAGAGCTGATTTCAGGGACACCAAGAAAGCCCTCTGGCCCCTGAAAAATCCCTCCCACCAACTAGGTACAGGTTTCATTTCTCTATCCAGATTCTTCCCCCTGCTTTGTGCTTCTGGACTGACTTTGAGCCTCTCCAATACCAAATCTACTTGTTTCATAGAACAACAGATTCTCAGAGCTAGAAATTCTTTGTGTCAATTTAGAGATTATCTAGGTCAATCCCCTCATTTTACAAGTGGAGAAACTGAGACCAGAGGGGGAAAGTCATGAGCCCAAAGTCACACAGTGAATTAGTGACAGAGCCCTAGACTGGGATCTGAGACCTAGGTTCCCATCCCACCATCTACACATATGACCCTAGGGAAATCCCTTCATTTTTCTGGGCCTCTATTTCCTCATCCATCAAATAGAGAGAAGAGTATTACACTGATGTTAGTACTAACGAAGACTATTACACTAACCTGGCTCACCTAGATGCTGCAAGCATCAGTTAGAGATGAAACCCTTTGTGATTGTGAGCTAGAATTGCCGTTACTATGGTTATGAGACAGCCTCCGACCAAGGGCCAGGGAGGCAGTCTGAAGTCCTGCATTTTCCTGGCCCTGGATCCAACAAAGAGCATCCTCTCTCTTTTCCCAGCTTGGAAAGGAAAGGGCTTTCCAGGTACCAGGTGAGTATGAAATCCAATGTCCTGCCAATGAACAGACACCGCATGACCCCAAAAAGAGAACGGACAAGAGAACAATCTACTTACTTGAGGATGTCATTCCGATTGAAGAAGGAGCAGTCCTGTTAAAGGGAAAAAAACCTGAGTGAGTTGGCAGCATTCAATTACTTTGAGATCTCTGAAATAAAAGTAATAGTATTCGTATAACATTTTTAATTTTGAAAAGCACTTTATACATATTATTCCCTTTGATCCTTGAAACAATCTTGGGTATTAGATGCCATTATTATCCCGATCTTTACAGATATGGAAACTGAGGATGACACTGGCTAAATGACTTGTTCAGAGTCACACAGCTAGTCAATGTCCGTGGTTGAATTTGATCTCAGGTCTTCTTGACTTCCAAGTCAAGCATTTTGCTATGGTCCTTAGCAGTCCTTTCCTAGATAGGGCAGATGATCTGAATCAAGAGGCAGTGGTTTTATATATATATTTATATATATATGTATATATATGTATATATATATATATATATATAGGGATAAAGCTGGGGGAAATGGAGTTGAATTACTTATTATTCTTTTAATATCAAAATGCCACAGAGAGACCACCTGTGGTGTCCAATTCACCAACAGGTAAAACTTGAGTTTTTCTCTTTCACCCCATAGGCTAAAACCTTGAAAATGGAATGTGGTGACTCTAAATCTGTGGTAATTAAATCAGTCAGCCTATCAGAACTGGGAAGGCCTTTAGAATTCATATAGTCCAAAGGTTTCACTCGACAGAGGAGAAAACTGAGGACCAGAGAAAAAGCATGACCTGTCCATGGTCACACCACTAGTGATGAGAAGAGCTGGGACTGGAGACAGAGGGCCTGAGTTCAAATCCCTCTTCTGACCCTTACCATCTGTGTGAACTTGGGGAAGTCACTTTACCCTGATGTGACTCCGTTTCCTTATCTGTAAAATAAGGTGGTTACACTAAATGGCCTCCAAGGGTCTCTTCCGGCTCTAAATCTATGACCTCACATCCCTATGTCCCAGGATAGTGCTCTTCTTGGCTATGCCAAAAAAAAAAAGAGAATGGTGACAAGGGATGGCTGCTGAACCAATTAATGTTATGCAATCGCAAAGATGATCACTAAGTTAATTAAGTAAACAAAATGTCCTCATTTATGGTTTGAGGTCTTCTAGAACTCCCTCTCTTTCTCCAGGGAATTTTCTTTAAAAAAGGACACTTGGTAATCCTAGAGGGGTGGAAGAGTTCCCTGCTTATCCTCTTCTATTTCATTGCTCAGGGCTCCAATATCCCAGTTCCCTGGCCTCCCCTCAAACCCGGCCTACTGGCAGATAGTGTAGCAGGAGTCTGATTACTGGGCCTGGGCCCAGATGGTGTCCCCAGCTCACATTGTCTAAGGAAGTCCAAGTCAGGTAGTTAACTCTTTGTTCACTCCAGCACAGTAAGGCTCCCAGATAGGAAGTCCCTTCCGCATTTAGCATATAGTTGGCACTTAATAAATGCTTTCTAATTGATTAGTCATGCTACCGTCAGTTGTCCACACAAGGGATATTAAGAACAAGAAGCAGCATCATAGTACATCAGAAGTGGGAGGACCTGCCTTCAAAGGCAGGTAACACATAAATCCTGTCTTTGATTACTTACTCAAAGTCACTGTGTGACTCTGGACCCAGGGCTCTACCATTGTGGTTTTTTTCATCTACAGAGTGCAAGGGTTGAATGGAATGACTTCTGATGTCCTGCCTACTTCTAGATCTCGGATCTCTGAACAGGGGCTGTGCACTTCTCCTCCTCTGTACTTTGGCCCACCCTGTTCTGTATCCCTGAAATGTCTTCCTAAATTTTAATGTTACCTAAACTTTAACATTCAATTCAAATGCCTGAAAAAATATGGCTTGTTCCACACCTCTAGTCCATCCCTTCTCTGCTAAGAAGTGGGGACCGGTCACTGTATCCACCAGAGTTCTTAAATCTTTGAAAGGTCTTTTTTTCTGACATCATCATGAAGTCCAACTCAACTGCCTCCTCTTCCTTCCCTGATCCCCCCAGTCTAGGAGGATGTCCTCCCTCAGACGTCCTGTAGCATTTCTGTTTTAGACTTTTCTGATGCATCTAAAATGATTTACTGTGTGTTTATGCCCACCTTTTTTATGTCTTATTGTTCCCTAGACTGTAAGCTATGTCAAGGCAATGACCATGTCTCACATAAAGTTTGTATCTCCATCAGCACCCCTTTGAGTCCTGCACACACTGTGATGACTTAGTAAATAAATGTCTTTCGGATGAATAAAAACCAGCAAGAAACATTCTCAGAAAAATGAAACTTGCTATCACTTTCAAAAACACATTTTCAATCTCATTTTTTTTTTATCAAGGCTTAAGATCACTTCTTACTAAAGTCTTCCCATTACATAAGATCATGCCATCATAGATCTGGGATTAGAAGGGACTTCTCAGCTCATTTAGTCAGCTGTTCTCAAACTTTTGGTCTCAGGGCCTCTTTGCACTTTTATAAATTATTGAAGACTCCCCTTGCAAAGGGCTTTTGTTTATGGGGGTTATATCCATCGATATTTACCATATCACAAATTAAAACATCTTAGTATTATTATCAAAATGGTTTTGACCTCATGGACCCCCTGAAAGGACCTTGAGGACACCCAGGGATCCCTGGACCACCCTTTGAAAACAACAGATCTGGCCAAACCACCTTATTTTACAGATGAGGAAACTTGAAGCTAAGACGGTTGATAGCTCACCTAGGGTCATGTAGACCATAAGCCTCAGAATCAGGATTTCACTTTGGGTCCTCTGACTTCATCATGGGAACCCTGGGCTCTGAAAGGCTATGTCAACATGGAGAACAAGTTTGGGAAGATTCTTCCCAACATGGAGCAGCTTTATGTGTGGGCCAAGTGGGGACAAGGTGTCTTTTATCTGGGGACCAGTCTGGCTAAATGTGAAACACTCTTGTCCAGAAGTTGGATTATCTTTGGTTGAGGCAACTCATGAAGACCACCTATGGATAAAGAGTCATATTATTTGGAGCTGGAAGGAGCCTTGCAGATTACATACATTAAATAATATAATATTGTTATATGTATAATATTTCAATAACATGTTATATATATATATGCATATACATCTATATGTATGTGTGTATATGTGTGTGTGTGTAAGTGTGTGTGTATTATAGTCTCATCCTTTCATTTTATAGATAAAGAAACTGAAGCCCAGAAAAGTGACTTGCCCAAGGCCACAGTGTAAGGGGCAGAGCTCCAGACTCAGGAACGCTGACTCCAAATCGAATGCTTTCTTCTATACCAAAGTGCCTGAGAAGTGGCAAGGATGGGTCCACATGGGCAGAGGGAGCCCCCATGTGAGCCTCTAAAGTAGAGGTACCCCGAGCGTCACTCAAGCCAGATTAAAACGTAGTTCCTAGATGGTTTTAATGTGTTGATATATTAATAAAAAAAAAAGGGATGTGTGTGGTTTTCTAAGTCAGTACGTGGCCTGCAGGGATCCTTATGTACTGTTTGAGGGCTCATTCTCATCTGAGTTTGACCTCACTGCCCTAAAATACTGGATCAATAATAACACCACATGGCTTTGCTATAAGGTTTCCTGAGCGCTTCTCAGGACAGACATTATTGTTATTATTCTCACTTGTCAGAGCAGGAAACTGAGTCCCGAAGATGGGAAATCACTGGCCTGAGGTGACACAGCTGGTCTAGTACTCAGGTCTGGCCCCTAGTGCAGGGTTTTTCCACTGACCACAAGGTCTGACACAAACCAAGGAAAGTAAACATCTGGAAACAAGGGACTGTCTCAGCAGCCGGGGTGTGGGGGGGGGGAAGGCTGGGAAGGGGGAACAGAGGAAGAGTTCAAAGCTCCAAGCTCCAGTTTGGGGGTGGGGATAGGAGGCTCCATTTCTATAAACCACAGCATGACCCACACCAAGAGGTGCTTTTGGGAAACAGCCGTCTAAAAGAGGCAGCACGATCAGAGGAAAGAGCATTCATTGCCCTTAGAAACAAAGGACTTGGGTTCGATGGGAAATCCCTCAAAAGATGGGAGATGGACCGGGAGAACAGATCTGGCTGGTAGTCCATAAGTCTGTATGGAAGTGCTAGTTTCCCCTTTCCCCATCCCTTGTCCTCTGTGCTATAGAAGGGGTATGGGGATGATTCTTGCAGAGGAATATTCACAGAACACCTCATAGCTTTCAAACAAGGCAGCTTATTTTAATGGAAAGAACACTCTGCTCAGTGTCAGGGGACCCGAGTTCAAATTCCAGTGTAGCCATTTATGAAATCACAGAATTCAGAATCAGAAAAGATCACATCCAGTCCAACCCATCAGTCACTCCCTGAATAACTTTGGGAAAGTTATTTCCTGGGTGTCTTCAGCTGGACCATGAGAGAATCCAGCTTGAGATCCTGTGATGCTAAGGGCTGGCCTATCCTTATTTCATTTAATGCTCACAGTACCCCTGTGAAGGAGGCAGGGTAAATGTTCTTCCCATTTGACAGATGAACAAACTGTGACCCAGCAGGGAGAAAAATAATTTAAGCAAGGTCACCCAGGTAGTTAGTGGTGGAGCTGGGCCCAGACTACACCTCGCTCTTCCCTTTTCCTGACTTGCAAAGAAGACAAACCTTCATGGGTATTTGAGCCTCACCTCCCTTATTCCTCTAGCTGTGAATGCATTCCCAAAATTACCTTTATTGACTCTACATACTGATATTTCACATTTGCTTATCTGTGCAATCAAATGAGATAATATTTATAAAGTGCTTAGCACTTAGCACATAGTAGGCGCCTAATCAATGCTTGTTCCTTTCCCCTTCGCCCCATGTGAATGATGTTTACCCCAGTAGAATGTAAGCCTCTTGAGGCGTAAAAATTTTGGGGGGGAAGGGGGGTCTCTAGATCCTCAGCACCTAGCACAGCACCTGACTTACAGCCAGAACTTTCTAAGTGATGAATGAATCAATGGATTCTGAATGCACTTTGGAGCACAGCCCTTTGGGATTATGCTGAGGCTGCTTCAGGGGATGCCCACTGCCCTGGTTCCAGCTTCCTTTGCTCCTGCCAGAGGAGT